AAAAAAACTAGGACATTACTTTCATTGAATCAACACATTATGTCAAACTTGCTACATTATTATTAAGTTACATTCCTCTGTAGAAACAAGTATCAAAACAATTGTAGCAGTAATTAGTCTGGGATTTTAAAATACACAATACATCCAAGGGTGAAAGGCACTCCATTGTTTCTAATTTCTATTTAATTGAAACATTAACTTGGATTATGTGCTGCTTGCAGAGATTTCATTACTTTAATCTGATCATGCACATGTACATTTGCTGCTAGAAAATGACCTCAATAATATACAGTAAAGCTCTTTTGTTAACAGATAAGTAATAGGGGAATAGACGTGCTTTGGAAGGGGGAAGTTAGAAATAGGATGAGATGCTAGAGCAAATAATTTGTAATACACACTAATTATGAATATAAAACTGAAAAAATGTACTGGTAAATAGTTTTAATTATTTCCACCTCACAATCTTTGAAGATGGGCTTTCCCAGCATCTTTCATATAGTGTTTGAGCACAATGAGACAAATACATACAAGGTCAGACTCAGTAAATGTTACAATTGTCAAATATGAAGTGAACAGTGAATCTTTTAAACAATCTTTTGTGAAGTACAATTTGACCTGTACAGATTGTATTTCAACAACGCCCACTCCGAACCTGATCTTGTATTCTGTACAGATGCTTTAGGCCAGCTGGTTAAATCAACTTCATTTTAGCAACAGCGTAAAGTGAACCCATAACATAGTAAAATCTCATGTTTTTAATAATTTCACTGATAGGAGATCTTTAGCCTGGGGCAACACAGCATAATTAACCTGATTGTTGTCCTCTGTTCATTAGATGTATTCATTTTAAATCAATTGCATCTGATTTTATGTTTCTAAAAAAAGCAGTTTTGAAGAGTAGTGAAATAGATTCTGATTCTATACCCTTTAATTAGCTGTGACCCATTTTAGCTACCTGATCATCATGTATTCATTGGAGCATAGAAAAGCTGCCCTGCTATTTACATCAGGGAATTGTATCCAATTCAGTATGCAACAAACACCCATAGGAAATTATGCTTAAGATATTGAAATTATATTATTTCCTGACTTAATTATTACATATTGGTCTTTATTCAGATTCACATTGGGTGACCACTTTTAAGCAGAAGCCAACTCATACAAGCCATTAGAAACAAAGAAACCACAGCCACTGAGAACTTAACCTAATAATTTAAGATACAGAAAAAAAGAATGAAGTGTACAGTATACTCAATTTCAGAATACCTACTCAAGATAAATTTAAATACAATCTTTTATCTAAAAGATTCAGCATGAGCACCAAAAGACATAATTCATGTTAATAGAACCATCTATTATTCCAAGAGAATCCATCCTTATTCAGTTTGGAAAGAAGGAGGAAAATCTCTAAATGCATGTTTAAACCTATAATTTATGAATAAGAGAAACTGAAAATTCTTGGTCTCATTATCCAGATTTCCTATGAAGTTTTCTAGCCATACACAGCACTGAATTCTGATATTTTTTGTGTATTCTGAAAAAAAGAAAAACACTTGCAGCATTCATTATCACATTATTAAAGAACAAAATGGAATACAGATTAAACTTCTTCCCTCTGACGTAGTACATGAAATTTCTCCTTACATTTAGATTTTTTTTAACTTGGCACTTCAACAGTGAGCCTAGCAACAAAGTTTCATATTTTTGCAGTTGCATATTCATAACATTTTCAGATGACCTTCATAGGACAAATGCCATATAGTAACTTCAGATATAATCCAGAACACCAGTTAAAATATTGAATGTATTAATGCCTTGTTTTCAAATCTTACTGATAGTTCTAACCTTATTAGGTTATGCATTTATTTAAGATATTTATAAAGTTACCCCTCTCATAATTTGTGACTTTGGTAGCAAGTAATTTAAAAAATCAAAATCAAGAAAGAAAAATATACTATCCAAAGCCAGAATAAACAATAAAAAGCAACAGATAACACTTATTCAAGGCTAACAATAATATACATTAACAGAATAAGCTTTTGGCACTTTTTGGTAATAATTTTATTAGATTTTGAAACAAGAAAAAGTGACAGAAAATACGGAAGGAAGGAAGGAAGGAAGGAAGGAAGGAAGGAAGGAAGGAAGGGAAGGAAGGAAGGAAGGAAGGAAGGAAGGAAGGAAGGAAGGAAGGAAGGAAAAAAAATGATTGATTTTCTTTTACAATAGTTAGCCCCTTTTGGACTTTTTGGACAAAACTGAAAAAAATAAAATTAAGATATATGGGTTTCAGTAGAAAAAATGATAGCAAAAATGAAGACTATGTTGCAACCATAAAGTAAGAGTTTAATTTAAATTTATATCTATAAGAGGGCTTTGGCACTTCTGAAGAATATTAAACTGGTGAGCAAAATAACACTATACTACTCATGTTACCTGAGGATACAATACTACACAACAAGTCAGAAGTAACCAGTTCTATACATGATCAAACCCTAAAAATGAACTTAATTCTTTTTTTAATAATTTCCTATAGATGATAGCAATTTGAATGCATCCCAATTTGAAGTTTCAAATACACGGCCATTTATTTTTTTTACTTTGCCCATCACAAAGGAGTTTGCACAGTCTGATTACTATAACGTTAAAGTTTCCACATAATAAACACACTGATTGCAGCTGCCTTGTCAAAGAAAAACAGCATCAAGGAAGGGAAAACCCTGGGGACCTTAATGCTAAACTCAAAAAGCAGTGCACTACTGTCGATTGTTGGCAGACACGAACAATGGAACCATGAAAGATCACACCGTAATCTTAAACTGCCGAGAGGGATGCCTACGGACACATAGTACTTAAGAAGGGCCGATGAGAAGAAACAGAAATACAAAGGACGCCAGAGTAGCGAAGTAGTAACCAAAACAAAACGTCGCGGAGGCCACGTGATAATAAGAAAAAGCCCAGCCAGCTCCAAAGGAGAAGGGCATCGAGGGAAAAAACAAAAGAGGCAGACCCCAAGGTTCCCTCCGTCTCCACCGCAATCGCAACCCCTTTTGCCTGGGCTTTTCGCAACTGTCAGCTTGGCTTCAATAACTACCACAGCGGAAAAAAAAGTCAAGCCAGCCAGACTTGCAGGGAAGGGAGCGATGGCGATTCAAAGCAGCTTTTTCTATGCAAAAGAGAGGGACAAAATGCCAGGCAACCCAGCCAGATCGGGAGACGACCTTAAGCAAGGCCGAAGTCTGGTTTTGTCTTCAGGGCGAGAGAAACAAGAAAGCGGGGAGGTAAAGCGTCGACGGGCTCCCATTAAGGCGAGTCAGGACCGGGAGGGCTGGAATGAAAGAGGAACGAGAGGCGCCATCACCCGCCCTCGTCTCGGCACGTTACCTGCAGGCGACTTGCTTAGTCCAACAGCTGATGCTTCCCCCTCCGGCTCCGGCGGATGGTGGCTGAGGCTCGGCTGCGGGGAGGCTGGAGGCCGTGGTGGTGAGGGTGGTGGCGGAGTCGCCAGCGCTGGAAGCCGTGACAACCGCTGCCGTGGCTGTCGCTCCCGCTACTCCGCCACCACCGGGGGCCACCGCAGCCTCCGCCATTATTGTTTACCCCACACAGCGACGGCCCCACCGGAACTTCCGGGAATGCATCCTTCCGGCTGGTTGCACGGGGCGGGGCAAAGCCCGAGGGGCGGAGCGGAAAGGACAGGAGGCGGGTTTTACTTCCCTTTTCGCCTGGAGGGGAGGGGGGAATAAGTCGCGCGTTCTGCTCCTTGTCGCTGTTCGATAAGCCCCGCCCCCTGTGATGGAGGAGGGTCTGCGGTTAGCTATTGGAGTAGGAGGAGAAGGAGGCGGGAATTAGGGGGGGGGAGGAAACATCCGGAAGCCGTCAGGGGTCTGCACGTGGCAGGCCGGTTGATGTGCTAAAATTAAATAGCGCGGCGTGTTGTTTCTGTTGCCTTTCGTGTTGTGCGCTCGAGGTGCAGGCTCGTGGGGAAGGATTCTCATTCAGGCAATAGAAACAAGCATGTTTAAAACTGGTGTTTATTGACGTTTCAACTTCGGCAATGTACTTAAGCAGATTCTGTGTATACAGCGCCTGTATATGCATATTTAGAATACGTGTAGAAATAAAAATTCAGCTCTTAGATCAGTTTTTATACTTCCCTTCTTTCAGGAACAAAGGGACTACACATGATAATACACTGTAATACATTTGGTTCGTTTCTCACGGGCATACAATGGAAGGTTTTGCTACATACAAAGTATCCATGTGCAATGCGCATTTGGTTAGCCACATATTGACACAGAACTTTCCCAGTGAATTTTCCCAGTGATTATGCATTACATCATTATTCTAGCAATTATGCAGACACATCATTATTGCAGTTATGCAGACAAATCATTATTCTAATAATTGTTCATTTTACTACATTACGGTGACTTCATTTGCAGAGTTATACATATATACAGCTGTATATACCTACACCTTTACATATTAATACATATATTAATCACTGTCCACTCTATTCAAGATGGACACATTAATATATGTAAGGGTGTAGGTATATACATGTATGTATATAGCATGTTTGTGTGTTATGTATGTGTACACTTTTGGGAGCAGGCAACAGAATTTCATTTTTAAGATGTGCCAGTGTGCCCACAGTAAAAAATGACAATAAAGGTTATCTAATGTTGCTGCTACTTGTCACAGCAATGACCATCCTAAAATGCAGGAAAAGGTATTTTTAGTTTCTCCATTAACGGAATACTGCTAAGAGTTCTGTTAAAAAAACTTATAAGAACATTGTCCCAAAGGTGGTTTTTCAAGAAGCAACTGGACTTTCTTGTTTTCTTTGAAGACGTTTCGCTTTTCATCCAAGAAGCTTCTTCAGTTTTGACTCAGTTGCTGTTGAAAAAGCACCTTTGGGACAACCCTGAACTGGATGATTGAGAATCTCCATAGACATTTAGCTGTGCACTTTATAAGAATATTAAAAACTAAACCTTTAAATGAAAAAATAAATAGTACAAGAAAAATGAAATCTGCTTCACTTTAATGAATTCAATCTATATTTTCAGTTAAAATGAGTAACCTGCTATTTTAAGTAATATTAAAAAAAAACTAAATAGGGTTCTTGTGCTAATGAATGACATTATAAAACTCTTAAGCTAAAATACATTTCATCAATTTGACTCATTGTGTTAATTCAGTCAATGTTGATTTATGGTTTAATGAAAATGCAAACTCAGACAGCTGGATTTATACACTTATTAAATTAATTCATTTATTAAATAATTGGTTTTGAACATATTCTATGAACTCAGATATTGTAGTTTTTAAGCAACGTTTTGTAAGGTTTTTCAGCTCAGAATCTAAACAAATCCCAATGAGACTCTGAACACGAGGCTACTGCAAAAAAAAACATTTTATTTTTGATCAAAGGCAAAACCGGGTGTTCCCAAACTCTTGTCCCCCGACACAGCGAGACAGAAGAGAAAAGGCACACACTAATAAAAAAAAGTTTTCCCCTTTGTAGCTAATGAGCTTTCTCACGCTAACAATTCTTGCGCAGCTAAAGATTTCTTTTCGTCCAATACACATTTTCTTATGTATCAAGTTAAGCACAACTTGTTACAGCACTACGCTCCGAATACACAATTGCTGGCATGCAGCCCCGGGCCTTTTTCTCCTTGAGGAGTACATTTAAAATTACAGCTAAACTTTTTCTCTTTGGTCAGCACAATTTTAAGTTACATCAAGGCAAAGTACAGAAAGCAAGCAGGAAAGAATGAACAATAGCTGGGTTATTCATAAAAGATTTTATTCTGATCCCTTCAGTTTTATAACTTAGCATTTGTGTTAACCCAATTATGACTTATTTGATAAAATGATTAAATTACAATTTAGGATAACACATGAATCAGTTGATCAACATTTAGATATCACCAGCAGAAATATAACTTCATCTGTCCTTCTGTCCTCAGCATGGAGAGTTGTTTTTATTTATTTACTTCTGAAAAGTAAGAATATTTCTAAACATTCCATCATAGCTCCTTGACTGAGCAGGTGGTGAGGGACTCATTTCAATCAACTAAAATTTAAACCCTCACAGCTAATAGTAGTAGAGGTTTCAAAGAATAATGAATAGCCAGGAGGGATGCAAGTTAGGTGTCTAGACAGGCAAGCTCATCTTATTTTGGATGATAAATTGACAAAACTACTTTTTGCAATACTGTTACCTTTTGTATTTTCATTTAACTTTTCTGAAAATATAGTGCCTCAGAAATTTATTCAAATCTGTTTTTAATTTCTCAAAAGGAAATTTCTCAACTGATGCTGGAAATTTGATATTTTAGCTTCCCCTTTTTTCAGGACATTGAATGGTTCCAGCCTGCCACCTGTTTTTTTCTGTTAATGTTAATGATAAATGGAGTTGGTCAGCACTAGTCTGGAGCTGAAATGCAGCACAGCTGAAGCTGCCAAGATCCTTCTGTTGCAATTCCACCACCACCCCCATGAAAATTTCAGTCAGCGTATGATCGTAAGAAACAAATGCAGAGGTAAGGAATTGGCTATATAATCATCTTTTTCTCAGAACAAAGATGAAAGTTCTTTAAATGTTAGATCATCACACATTTTGTGGGAAACAAAAATTTCTCCATGAAAATCTAAAATAGTTTATTGGGAATACTGTACAGTATTGGCTGAGATAGATGGAAGGTTTAAAAATACATTGGTGAAACTTGCTTAGTTTTTAAACTAAACATGGACAGAAGTTTAAGCTGATTTGAAATTAAACCAAACAGCATTTGATTGAGAAGTATATTAATTTACCCTTCCTTGGCATCTGAACTAGAGTCACAATTCTTTATTAGTCAAGGCCAAAGATACCTTTTGCAATGTTGAAGTGGAGGAGTAGATGCAAGGCTGTAATTAAAATTGACGTGGTTAAAATTGATTATAAGAAATAATCCTATGAAATGTTTTAAATTATTTTTTATTGAAGCAGAAACAAAAATGTTACAAGAAAAAAAGAAAAGCTGTCCCCCCCCCACCCCTTTGACATCTAGTTTTGTCTGCAAAGCTGTTTGTTATTTTGTATAGTCTGCTGAAATAGGTTTTGCTATTTTGTATAGTGTTAGTTGAGATCCCAATGAAACAGAGTGAAGTGGGGTTGCACTTCTGAAAGGGTTTGGAATTGTGTTTTTAAAATACAACATAGCACACTACAGATATTTAGCTTTCACAGTTAAATACCCTACTATTCTACATATTACCTCTGAACCTAGTGAAAAGAATTGGTATATTGCAGGATCCAATCTGTGTGCACACATTCCCTTAGAGAGAAGATCCCTGAGGATGGGCTTCAGTACAAGTCTGAAAGTTCAAAAGACTAAACCTCTGGTCCTGGTGTATGACCCAGATTGGATCCTGCAACATTATCCTGGGACACACATATTTGCCTTCATTCATGAGAATTGGTATATAAATACAGTAGACAAATTTCAGAGATTCCCTTAATGTGTTCCCATTTTTAACAGTGATTCGTTTCAGTTTGCAATGTAATAATAGATGTATTTCCATATTACTCAAATCATGTGGTTAAATAGGGTTGGGTCTAAGTAGAACTAAAATAATAATTTAATTAGTTTCGACCCCAATACTAGAATGTTTTCAGTTCTATTAGAGATCTGAATGGAGATGATAATATCTTACTATCCTGGGTTCACACATTCCACAAAATCATGATTTGAATTTATCACAGTTACAAAACATCTTGTGGCTGGATTTGCAATCAAAGTGACAATCAACCAAGTTATATTGTTGCTTAATCTGTCAGCCTGAATTCTGTCTTGATTTTTACACATTCTTCTATAACACAAATATTTTTATTTTGTATACTGTATTGCATGTATTACTATTTCATTTTTTACAGATCTGCATTCATGAATTGGTTTTCTGTTCTGGCAAAAAATGATTGGAGGACCATCTTTATATTGTGGAACAGCAATGCTGCATTGCCTCATTATTTACCCAGTTTGAGAAGATATTTGCATAGTGAGTGTATTCTGAAGAGATTACTCCTTTTTTGGAGGCTGCAGTGATCAAATGTAAAAGAGGCAGGCATAATTTAACTTGAATGCAATTGTTAAAAATGGAATTTTGTGTCTGGACTGTAGACTCAAAGACTTTGGTTTGCTTTCCATTTTAAGTGAATGGACCAAATTCTATTTTTTTTTTTATTAAAGTTGCAGCTTTAATCACCGTAGAGTGTATGCCTTTGAATAACATTTGTTAATGAGGAAAGTTACTACCAGACTCCTACTTTTCACAAACATGTCTTTCAACTTTACCAACCTCCTGATTAAAGCATATCGATATGACATCAATGTAATAAAGAATAAAATATATAATATTAAGCAAAATTAAGCAACACAAAATCATTCTGTATATTTGTAGTTAAGTCATAAAGTAAAACTGAGAGAGGGCAAAAAAATATGCCATTATCTTAATTATAGATTTTCAAATGAAAAATAAACTATTTTCTAGATTGTAGATTATAAGGGCTTCAGGCTATCATGAAAATACCTCTGTTTTTGAAAGAAATGATGATTTGTGGATTTAAAGATTAAGAAAGATATTATTGAATTAGGGGCCAAAGGGATTTTTATGATATCTAAGGTAGTAAAATTGTAATCGTCTGTTAAAATGATTGGAAGTTATTCATATATTCTAAACAAGTTATTTTCTTTTTTCTTTTTAATTTCTTTCATTTCTTTTTTCATTCTATATAAAAATTCTTAAATAACTTTTTAAAAAAGAAAATATTTCTGTTTTAAACTCAAGTTAATGAAATCTGCATGGTTTGATATTATTTTGTGGGTTTTTCATTGTCAGCTACTATTTCTTCTTTGGGTTGTATTTTGTATGTTTTAACAGTGACCTATATTGTGCATTTTTATTTTTAAACTTTTTTTCTAATGACTGTAGCCAGAGGGGTAGTCATATAAATTTAAATAAATAATCTCTGATATTTGAATAAGTGGGTAATCATATTCTGTAGATAGAATAGATTTTCTAACTGATTGTTATTATAACAGAAAACTAATGAAAATAAAGTGGATTATATCTCCCCTATAATGCAGCAGATGGAGATATTACACAGTATTACGCAATAATACCCAATTTTCTTAATATTTGTCTAATATAAAAAAACTATGCCTCAGTCCAGAGTTTCTGTTTAATTATTATACCAGGAAGGTATATTTATCCTACTCAACAAGGAAAAAATCACACTTTAAGGACACATTTCTGATTCTCTATTCTCTATTCAAATTGCTTGATTTGTTCACATTGGAAGAAATATGACTTAGAGAAATCAAAATTTTGAATTACAATTTTTTAAATATTTTTGAGTTGCTCTTAATGATAAAAAAAGGAACAAAACACAAAACACATGAACAATGAAAAAAACTACATAAGTGCTTAAATATGTGAAAAAATACAACAGAAAAAATGTAAAATGTAGCACAATAAGCAGTGACAATTCTATAGATAATTATTCAATGTAAATATTATGTAATTTCATTTCCAATATTTATATAACAATTTTTAACCTACTGTATTTTGTATAAATGAGTTTCATTACATTTACCCATGCTTTTTGAAGTAGGATTATGATTTGTACTGACCAGAATTATTTTATGGGCTTTCATAAGTCATAGATCATAATTTGTGTAGCCTATATTCTGTATATTATGTAGCCATAGGAGTCCATTTTAGCCAGTAACTAATCTGTTGATGTGCTGGCAAAAACAATGGCTATGTCCTTATTTCCATCCTCAAATAAATTGAGTGCTTTTTAGGATCCGTAAAATCATTTTTAAGATAATTGTTGGAAGATATATAATTGATCAAATTAATATAAGCCTTATCTTTTAATCTCATATAATACCTGGTATTGTAGTTATAATTTGTGCTTTAATAACCTGAGAATAAAGCATATCTATCTGCTGCCAGGCTTGGTCCAGAATCTTAGGAAACCATTCTTGATTGGACCAACCTTTCATCTTAATGCTTTTATCTAAAAATTTCTTGAGCTTGAAATACTAAATTTCAAGTTAGTATTAAGTGAAAACTAGATCATTTATGTTTGGCCAACATATCATGTGTGGGTTTTTTCTGCCTAACTCTAAATATATCTACTTTATATTTATCACAATTAAATGTTAACATATTATTCTGGCAGTAACATCTAAGCCCTGTCTGGGCATAAGAAAATAAAACCATATCAGTTGCATGGTATAAAACTGAGATTTTTCTTCCTTAAATAGTCAAAAGAAAGAAATGCAGGTTAGTTAGTTCTTGAATTGAATCATTAATGATGAGTAGTTAAATATATTTTATTTTAGATGGCGACTTCAACATTCATCCCTTGGTAAAAGAAGCTATGGAGAGTAGAAAACCAATTGTTGCCTTGGAAAGCACTATAGTCACACATGGCATGCCATATCCACAGAATCTGAGGTAGACTACTTCAAGCTTTTATCTCATGCTTCAATTAATGTTAGGTGGATGTGCTTTTTAGATAATCTTGGACATTCTCCTACTTGTACCTAGCCAAGTAAAAACGTGCTCTGGAAATTTTTCTTTTTCTACTATGTCCTCTAAGACAGGGGTCCCCAACCCCTATTCCGTGGACTGGCACTGGGCTGTAGCATGCCAGAAACCAGGCTATGCAGACAAATGAAGCCCCATCTGTGGGAAACCATGCCCCGCTCCAGTCTGCAAAAAAACCTCTCTCCATGGAACCGGTCCCTGTTGCCCAAAAGGTTGGAGGCCACTGCTCTAGGAAATCATTCAATTTATTCCCACTAATGAGCGAAACATTCTTAAATCATCTTTACATATATCCGCATTAAAGTACTGTTTTCTCTCTTAAACTAAGAGCATTTGATGCTAGCAGCAGGATGTGAGAGATCTTTGCTGTCCATTACATGAGAGGCAAAATCAGAGGATCAGTTGTGGATGGGATCAGAGAGTTACTTATTGTGACCATCTTAAACTAAGACAAGTCCAAAGATGCTAGAGAATTCCTGGAAGCCTGGCACTCTGACAGCATGGCCATCAATAGACACATAGACATAAACAACATTGTGTGCAAAAGAGATAATCAACAAGTCAAAAAGAGAACAAAATGACAAAAATACCAGCAATCAGCACCTAGAGGAGCATAGATTAACAAGATTAACATCAGAGCAGCAATCAAGAAGTAAACAATATCCTAATCAAAGAATGGCCAAACAAGCTAGCAGTAAACAGCCCAACCAAAAAACCTCCAAGACTTTCCCCACCAACACTAACAGGGCAAACCACTAGTAAATTGTGAGCAAATCCCATTCCTTGCTAACACTGATGATGTTACCTAATCACTAATAACACTCATTTGAACAAAGAACACCATGACAGATCATAAAACTGACCTGCCTGACCGACTGTCCTGTGACCATGGAGGGAACAGCATAACCATTTCAATGGCCAGGGGTGCTTTGGCTGTCATAATTTCAAACAGTCATCAAAAGACTAAGGACTATCTGTAGTAAGGGAAATATTTGAACTCTCAGCCTTACAGGACTGGCCTTTTTCAGCTCTATCTCCTTTTGTCAAAATCACACTGCAAGCTCCACTTTTTCTGGATGTGTGGATGATATCATAATGTATGCACAAAAGGGATGGCACTTGTGTCATATGAGATTGATTGATTTGATCTTCCCCCAAATTACTTATAGGTTTAGCACAGGACTGAAAAAGGGTAACAGTAGAATGACAAAATCAGACCTCTCCCTATTACATCTCAAACAGAGAGCATAGATGGATCTGAAAGTCAACATTTGTTGTTTATATAAAGAAAAGAAAGAAAGCAGAGAGAAATCCTAAATAAAAGTTGTTTGTGACTCGCCTCTTTATGAAACTGATTTTTTTTTCTATTTTTTTCTTACCTTTTAGACTCAGCTTTGTTTATAACAGAATAAGATGTTAGAGAAAAACATCTATAGTCAAACTTCCCTTTTCATGCTGGAGTGCTATGACTGAGATGTTTTTCCCAGCACATAACTATTCTTGAAACAATTTTAACTGCAAAGAAATCTTTTTCCTTTTGAAGGTTGCCTTTTTCAAGTCACTGCAACCACTGAATTATGGTTTCATCAATAACTGTGTTAACTAAAAGCTAGCCAGTCCTTTGTATGTTTTATAAGGATCCAGATGCTGCCAGTGTAACATTCATGCATGTAGTTGGAACTAAATCTGTATATTAAGAGCAAGAGTTGTAGATTGTGCAGAAAAACGTAACTGAATAAAATGCACTATAAATGGGGCCGAGGCATTCATTCTCTGTTATCACAAATATTTTGTTTTTTATCCTTTTCATTTTTCATTCTTTGTCTGTGTTGCCATATATTGAATTTTCAAGCATGGCCAGAGAAGTGGAAGAAATTGTCAGAGAAAATGCGTGTGTGCCAGCAACTATTGGCATATTAAATGGCCGTATCCATGTGGGCCTCCAAGATGAAGAACTTGAGATCCTTGCAACAGCCAAGGACGTAATGAAGGTCTCTCGTAGAGACTTCCCCTATGTTCTCAGCCAGGTACTTGATGGAATTCCTCATTATTCTAATTTGTTTGTGTTACATAAATAATTCAGGGTTAAGGGTCAGTTGGTAAACGTTTCCCTGTGACTGAATCTGCAAAATAAGTACCGTACTCAAACAGCTGAGTGTTTAGGGTTTAGGATTAAGCAAAATTATCTCCAGTTGGCAGCTAGAGTTTGTTGAACTTTCCTTGGGCCTTTGAAACTTTGGAGATGCTATTACCAAGCAAATATTTGTTATTTCATATTGAATTTCATTTATGGACTTGCTTCTCTCTGCTGCTTAAGGAAACTAATTATCTGAAGTGCAATCAGACACAGACAAAAAAAGTATACAAAAAAGTTGAAAATAATCAATAGAATTTGTTTCTTAGTGTAGAGTGGCTTCTGTGTACAAAGAGACTGAAGTCCCTTTTATACCAGCAACCTCACCAGTTTGTTTTTTTTTAGTTGTTTTGTGACTAGACATCTTGGCATCCATTCTGTAAATAGGTAAGCCACTTATAGGAGCTATTTGATGACATGCCTTACAAATGTGCTCTTAACATTCCAGATGTATCTACCAGCCCCAAACAATCGCCTGTTCCATCCTTTTTACATTCAGCATAGCGTTTTCAAAGAGTGCCTTCATTTTCTAGGGAATCTAAGCAGCCCAAGAGCAAGCTTTTCACACTGGAGTCAGCAACATTGGCATTGCCACCCTGATTTGCATCCAGCCTATAAAAAGGAGGCAAAAGGCTGTTTGACTCCAAGTGAGTATGAAAAGGAACAGTAGTTTTCAGTCTCTCTGTTTTGTATATGCTTGGAAGTTACCATACATCCGGTAACCTCATGTTTGTTTTTCAATTCATAGAGTCATAAAATCTTAAGAGTTGGAGAAAGAGCTCAGATACCCATTCAGCATCTTGAATCCGACTAGTGACTAAGGAGTTCTTTTCACTGCTGAGTAGTGCTTAGTATTCAGGGGTTTCTCCTAATGTTCCATAAGACATGACTTTTTCTGCAAATATTATTTATTTTAATCTCAGTGTCCAAGGCAACAGAGAACGTGTCATTTGTACAAGAGCTCTTCAAATATTTGAAGTCTCTATTATGACACCCTGTAATTTTTCCTCAGCTATTCCTCCCACAATCCTTATTATCATCATTGCCTGAATGTCTAGGAAAAAAACATTTGGGAATAAAGGCAGGTCCTTGTTATCAAAGATAATGCCATAAGGCAAATACAAAGTATTGGGGTTTAAAAGTGCATTATTTAAAAAGGGGAACTGGACTGTTTTTTGAGGAAGAAGAAGACGTTTTGTTTCTTGGATGGGAAACCAAATATCTTCTTTTTCTTCTTCCTCAAAAAATAGTCCAGATGACTGAAAATCTCCATAGATATACTGTATTGGAGTTTAGCTGAATTCTCAGATTGAATTAGCATAGGATTGGTTCACACATTGCACTAAACCATAATGCTATGTTTATTTTTTTCTTCAGAATAATATAGGAATCTAATGTTTTAGCTTATCATTATAGGTAAAGGCCATTATAGATTGTTCAACAAACAATGATTTTAAAAAGTGCCATCTTAACTTTATCTATGAAAACATTTCAACCTTTCACACATATCACTTATTGCTTATTTGAAAAAGATGAAATCTGAATAATGATTGATTGTTCCATGACAGGGATTGTCTGGGGGAACTACTGTGGCAGGAACCATGGTTGTGGCACATAAAGCAAGAATTCCAGTATTTGTAACTGGAGGAATTGGAGGGGTCCACCGGGGAGGAGAAAAGAGTAAGACAAACATCATTTTAATTACAAATCAAAGCCTTAATTCCCAAATGCTGTATTACAAAACCATCTACCATTTTGTTATCCCCTATTGATGGAGCCCTAATAGGGACTCAATACTTATTTGTGTTATGCTGATTCAGCACATATTCACCTCTACAGCTGGCTGAGTAACTGATGTAAAGTAAAGGCATAAAGGGAAATAAGCTTCATTTGTTCAAGATACTTAGTATAGTTTTCCTTTGTTTAGTGTTTCTGTGTAAATGCATTTTTTCACTGAGCCTTGCATATAATATTTATAAAGATCTCCAGTTACAGGTTCCCAAATAATGGATGCTAAAAAAGACTTCTGACTGAGCACGAAAAAAAAATCCATTTCTACCTAAGAACCAAACTAAACAATGTATCAGATTTATTACATGTAAACAGTGTAATAAATTTATTATTAATGCATTTATCTTTCAAAAACTGCTGTTTTCGGGGATATAGGGAACCAGCAAAGGAGATGAAGATGCAAATTTACTGGGATGGAAATTCTACTGGGAATCAGCCCCTGATGATCAATGTTATGACCAGGGCTTCCAATTGCACAAATCCCAGTATATCCCTGTTCATTCCATAGAAGGGGAACTTCATATTAAGATTTTTTGCTCTCTCTGAAATGGACAATCCATTTAGAATAGGAGAGAACAAGCATCTTAGGCATTTGATCACTTGTTCTCAGTCCAAGAAGAGGCGGTCCATTTTGTTGATGGAGTGGACACAGTTGCACTGACTTTTCAGCAACTGTTTTTAATAGAATAACAGAGTTGGAAGGGACCTTGGAGGTCTTCCAGTCCAACTCTCTACTCAAGCAGGAAACCCTATACCATTTCAGACAAATGGTTGTCCAATCTCTTCTTAAAAACCGCCAGTGTTGGAGCATTCACAACTTCTGGAAGCAAGTCATTCCACTGATTAATTGTTCTAACTGTCAGGAAATTTCTCCTTAGTTCTAGATTGGTTCTCTCCTTGATTAGTGTCCATCCATTGCTTCTTGTCCTGCCTTCAGGTGCTTTGGAGAATAGTTGATTCCCTTTTCTTTGTGGCAACTCCTGAGATATTGGAACACTGCTATCGTGTCACACCTAGTCCTTCTTTTCAACTTTTAATGTCAGGATGGAAATTATGTCAAGTCCTGCAATGAGGGCAAACTCAGGGAAAAAGAACCTCTTGGTGTAAGAAAGGATCTTTATTGTTAAGAGAGTAATATACCAGAATCTTGAAAGCCTATCAAAGCAATTCTGTCATTCAGCTAACTTCTCTATGTTATTTGTCCTAACTTTGATCCTAGAGTCATGCAGCCCTGACCTCATCCAATTCTTTTTCTCTCCTCCTTGCCACTTCAGAACAAAGTTGGTGTCATCTCTTGATGATGACATCCCCCCTCTCTTCCTATGGAGTATAATTAGACTGACCATATTTTTTACCCCAATGCTGGACAGTCCTGTCACCATCTAAGAAGAACTACGTATCAAAAATAGAAAAAGAATTGCAGTGGCAAACAAACTTGAGTAATAAGTCAATCTTTCCTTACCTAAACAGATAGGGTTAGGCAAAAAAGCAGTATAAGCAGGAGCAGGAACTTCCTGCTGGCTTTCCCATTGACTTTACTCATGGGCAACTGGCAAGAAGCATCAGAAATCATGATTGCATGCTGTAGATATGCTCCAACTGTCACAACTTTGTGAATAAACTGGTTTGGACATCCTGGAAATTTCAATTCCATTGGAGTAATAAATCCCAGATTTTTTATGCATTCTTTAACCTAGCAGCTTTTAGTACCTTGATTCAAAAATTATTACAGTATAATGCACCATTTGGGCTAACTTGATGGTACAAATAGATAAACACAATGAGAATTTTAGTGATAAGTATATCAATCCCCAAAAGGCACTCTCTTATTTTTTTCTTTGAGTTTTTGAGTTTGATATTTTCAGGCCTGGACCATTTTTTTCTTCCTTTGTTCAGACATGTTTGTACTACAAAGTATTATTTAATCCTTGAGAGGTCACATTGGCTCACAGTGTGCACCATTACTGCTTTTTAATTTTATTGTGTTTTTTGGAAGTTTTCAATTTTGGTATCCCAGGCCAATGCCTACTCAGTCTTAGCCTGGAGCGAGCTCTAACTGGGGGAGATGGATCATTAATAGCATAAGGCAACTTCATATGGAAGGATGAATGGATTCCTTCCATTCCCCACCATTCAGTTAGAACTGAAGAAGCTTCTTGAATGAGAAGCAAAATGTTTTCAAAGAAGAAAAACCCAAGAAAGTTCAATTGCCTTTTGGAAAAGCATCTTTGGGGCAACTTAATATGTTATTTCATTATAGCATTTTAATATTTTTCTCCTGGGAAGTGTGAAAGAAATTGGGTAATATGTGAGATGTTCCTCCAGAATTTGTACTGATATTTTATCCTATCTTTTTCAGCTTTGGATGTGAGTGCTGATCTGACTGAGTTAAGTCGTACTCCAGTTGCTGTAATTTCTGCAGGTGTTAAGTCTATACTTGATATTGGCAGGACACTGGAGTATCTGGTAAGCTATAAAAATTATAGAATTTCAACATTGGCTCTATGTCTCAAAATGTCAGGCCTGGTATGTTAAGAAGTGGGATCTTTGCCCGTTTGAAGGAGAGATTGAAGTGATCTGTGGGTATTTGGAGTTTACATATATTTTAAAAAACATAAAATGCTGGGAATGTTGCATGGTACTTTTTCTGTGGCAGTTTCTGATTGTGGAATCCTCTTCTGATTTAGTTTTAGAAGATTGTCAAACATTTTGCTGAATGACCTTAAGCAATTTACAAGTCTGGTTTTTAAATGAGATGTTTTCCTATTTTGTTTAATATGATTTATTTTTATATTTTATTGATCTTAATTTGTAATATTTTGACTTTAAAAGAGGCAAATACTGTTATTAAAATAATGTATTAAAATATCAAAATAAAATTAATATCCCTGTATTTCCTAGCAGCTAGAAATGGAATTAAAATTGTTTGCATGCAGCAGGTTTAGGAAATGATTTGGTTATGGAAACTGTTCCAGAATTCAGTGTTTAGACCATTGGCAGTTCAGTCCCACCATTGCAGGATACCATTAATTCTGAAGTTTTTGAATTGGTTGCCAGGACGCATCTGGCCTAGCTGAAAATGCTTGCTATTCCCTGCAAAGCCTTTCACTGTATAGCTCCAAGATATATCACGCACCTGGATCTATGGAGTCCCAGACAGCAGGGCAGATATATTCCATGTCTCATATAATTGAATTAAAAAATAAATATACTGTAGTTTGAGCACATTGTAATTTCTAGCCTAGGATAAACAATGTTGTGCATGTAATAGAAGTAATGCTCCCAACTTTAAGAGATAGTTATCCAATTTTTAAAAGAAGAAACCTGCATTGGGTATGAGCTTTTCCTTCTACACGGCATTGTGTCCTTTCCATTCGCCCTTCTCGTCTTACCTCTGCAGGAAACTCAAGGAGTCTGTGTGGCCACCTTTGGAAAATCAAGAGAGTTCCCAGCCTTCTTTTCTCACCAAAGTGGCTTCCAGGCACCATGTCAGGTGCAGGATGAGAAAGCTGCTGCTCAGCTGATTGGTAAACTGTCAGTAGAATAAGATGCATCTTGGATGAGTGGAACCTGAATGGAACTTCAGTTAAGAAGCTTCTCAATTTCTCTGTCAAAAATGCATTACACTCCTGGTCGAGGTCAAAAACTCACATATGTCAGTAAGGTTTTCTTCTACATTAGTACACATAGGATCAAGCTAAAGCCATCCCAAAATTCTCCTCTGTATCTTCAGCTGTTTTGTCTCTCTTTCTCCTTGACGTCTTCTGCTCTATCCTTCTACAGGCTTTGAATCCTATACCCACAACTGCCATTTTTCAGCAATTCCTGAGGCCCAATTTGTACATGCCACGAAATTAAGTGCTAAAGATTTTTTGAACTGTACCACACTATTGCAGTGGAAGTTGACAAATGTTGAATGCTGTCCCTGCCCCCCCCCCCGATAAAACCCATCCAATGCCCATCACCAAAACCCATTGAAAGTGGGTCTAGTTGACTTCTTGTTTCAATATGCATTTTTTTTCTGATGCAAGCATTGAAGCATAAAAATTCTTACATGGAATCTACAGAACATGTAGAGCATGTTGATTCTATTGAACTGCAGCCTTTGAACACTCAGTTGCACAAAGCATGTGCTGTCTTTCTACAGACAGCAAGCTCTCTTGTTTCTACTGCTTTTATCTTTGCAATTCTCTAATCAGTTGTTATATTTCCATTTTGTATTCCAGTTTTATGTGTTTTACAGATCCCAACATCTATTTACTATTCCTTGTTCTAGTCAGGCTTTCTGTTTTTATTTGATTGATTTTAGTCTGGCAATCAAAGCAGTAAATAAGATTTAAAACAGACAGAATATAAAAAAAATAACAATACAGATTCAATTAGTAAATACATGCTAAAGTTGTCTTACAGTTAAAAGATGACAAAATAAATTCAGATTTATGAGTTGGGGGAGTTTAACTTTGAAGAGAATGCATTCCTTAACATAAGAGAAATGCAGAAGAGTATTCCCTTCATGTTTCAGAAAGAAGAGCCTATGACATTTTCTTTCTTTAAAAGATCTCTCCTGTTACTCTTCACATCTGTCAGGTTTACATCTGTCAGGATAGACAAACTCTTAGAGAGAGTTCTTCTCTTCTATTGAACTCAGATGCTGCTTGATTTGGTAGAAAACTAGCATGAAATTTGCTAATTCCATGGGTCATCCCCATCCTACCTCAACCTATTGTAATTACTTATCTTTTCTCCAAGACACAAATACACGCTGGAGATTCCCCTTTGTGCCAAAATTAAAAATTATTGATAC